TAGCATTTGTGGGTAGATCAGAGTACTAGTTTAAAGCTCCTCCAACCAGATAGTTTTGAAATCATGCTCTTCTCAACAAATCCTAAACAATGGATTTTCATTTATTGCAAATTTTGCAAATAAAATGAGACGTAATTAATATTTGAATTTGCTGAGTTAAATCTTGCATAAAATGCCACTTTATTATAACTTGTTCAAGACTGAGTCATACTAGCGAATCTGTCTCCAAAATCATGAGCAATGTAAAATACATTTGTATGAAAATACACTTGGTAACTGTTAGTAGAGAAGTGGTAAGCCTAACCACAGGATGGTTGTACCCCCTTCTCACCTGTGAGTCTGAAAAAATGATCGTCGTTGCTGAGGGGATGGTGGAGGTTGCTGATGCCGTTTTTGAAATCGTTTTTAAATGCAATCAAGCTGCAGTTGATGGCATGCAAGAGCATTCTGTTTAGGTATTGGAATGAAAACGGTGGACTTTTATTTTTCAGCTTTACCTTTAGGCTTGATGAGATAGGTTTTTTTATGAAGTCAGCTCACCTGTACCTTTTTTTTTTTTTTTTTGGAGACAGAGTCTTGCTCTGTCGCCAGGCTGGAGCTTAGTGGTGCGATCTCGGCCCACTGCAGCCTCCATCTCCTAGGTTGAAGCAATTCTCCTGCCTCAGCCTCCTGAGTAGCTGGGACTACAGGCACATTTCACCACGCTCTGCTATTTTTTTCTATTTTAGTAGAGACGAGGTTTCACCATGGCCAGGATGGTTTCTATCTCCTGACCTTGTGATCCTCTCACCTTGGCCTCCAAAAGTGCTGGGATTACAGGCATGTGCCACCTAGCCCGGCCACCAGTAACTCTTAACAGAACCATTGTCTTCTTTTTCACTGAGGCATTTTGGGAGCACATTTTTATATTGGGTTTGAACTGTTATGGTTCTATGTATCTGTGTTTATCTTTAAAGAATACATACACATTTCCTTTCTTGAGATGGAGTCTCTGTTACCAAGCTGGAGTGCAATGGCACAATCTTGGCTCACTGCAACCTACACCTCCTGGGTTCAAGCGATTCTCCTGTCTCAGCCTCCCTAGTAGTTGGAACTACAGGTGCACACCACCACACCTGGCTAATTTTTGTATTGTTAGTAGGGATGGGGTTTCACCATGTTGGCCAGGATGGTCTCGATCTCTTAACCATGTGATTCACTTGCTTCAGCCTCCCAAAGTGCTGGGATTACAAGTGTGAGCCACTGTGCCCAGCCTACATTTCTTATCTGAACATGGCTGCATATGTGTCTAGAACACATATTCTAGTGTAGCGCCAGCCTGGGACCGCCTGATTCACCTCTCCACTAATTTCCTATTGCTACAGAGCAAAGGAGAGGCCTCTGGGAATGGGGATGGTGTGGGGTGGCTTGGGTACACTATATAATGTCAGTGGAGGGAATGGTGAACATGTAAGTGAACACGTGGATTTATCTGCATATCCAAGAATAGACCTATAGGACTATACTGTGTGTGCTGCTGTAGGTGACACTAATGTGTTGTTAAACTTCTGTAAATTTCAAATATTAATCCAGTCTGGAAGTTCAAATAAATAAAAAGCCTGTACTAAAGAAGGCGTCCTCTTGATATGTGTCAGTTTATTGCTTGGCATGTTTGTTATATGATCATTAAGTTACTGTGGCCCGTTCTTTTAACAATAAAGCTTTGAAGGTTTCTCCTCTGTTAAACACTCTAAATCCCTTCCCCGGCTTGATGAGGTTTAGATAGCAACTCAGTTGGACTGATCTGCTTCCGGAGTTTGTGACTGCCCCGTGCACAGATTGGCACAGAAGTGAATGGCTAGTTATTGAAGTCAGGCTTGCTTCTTGTGCATCCTTAGCCTCACGGTTTTAGACCCTGTCAAAGAAGAGCAAACAGTTGGGAATGTGCCCAAGCAAAGACCCACTCATCCAGAGAACACACTGATAAAATCTGCCAAATGTAGCCTCAACTGGCCCACTGCTAGAAAATGATTTCCTTCCATTGTTTCCAACTTGATGCGTGTGGTTTCTGGAACCAGGAGAGAGGGTGAATATTCACTCTGGCCAGAAAAATTATCTCTGTTCCTCCCCTTAAGCAGTCAGACACTTTGCTGACATGTAGGGGTTTTGTCCTAATAGGAAGTCCTCTGGAATTGGCTCTTTGTCTCTGTGTGTTTTATAGATGCAGCTCTTAGTAGAGGATGTACTTTCGTGAGTTTGTATCCATCTTTTTTTCAATATTTTAATCTGAGCTGAGTTCTGAGGCAGAGAAACCTCCTTAATGACCTGAAGAACTGGGTTGCTTTTTCAAGGGTTGCTGCTTACTTAGATTCAAGTCTTAGATCTTCTTGGACCTTTGACAGCTGTGTAACCCAATCCCCTCTTTATAGGAAATAGACAGCCTGGGATCACAGTTGCAGAGTGAACTATGGCGGGCATCAAGACCACTGACCAACCTTTCCCCTTAGAGAAGAGCTGTTGAAGCATGTAAGATTATAGCATTGATGGCGTACTTTTTCTTTTCAGACACACACAGTAGGGGGAGCTTGAGACAGTAGGGAATCCAGCCTGTAATTGTCTGTGGCTTAAGTGACTTTCATTATTGGCTCAGTGGTGGCTCTTAGAATCCTAATAGCTGATTCCAGGGGTGAGTAATTCTTCAGTCATTATAGGTGACTTTATTTAGCTCTTTTTCTCTTGCTAGACTCATCAGTTCTGTTCGCTACCAATCACCCTTCCTCAAGCCATGCTTTGCTTAGTGGTACCATCATTTGCTAAATCTTTATGACCGACGTTGCCTCACAGTTTCACCTTCTAACAGCCTAACTTGAGCTCTGAGGATGACATCACATTGACCTTTTGATGTTCAAAGGCAGGATGTGGGGATTGTTCGCTGCATGAGGATATGAAGTTTGAGAGGGATGGTGATTTAAGCTTTAAAATAATTGTAAAGTCAAGTTACCATTCAGCCTTATTATTGATCTGGTATGCAAGGTGTGTGATGCCTAGTTTCATGTTTTCATGCTACTATTGGAGTGACTCAGTAGCCGCGTTGAAGTTGATTCATCGAACCACTAGCCCGTTAGTTTGGGGCTCTACTCAAATGGTCATTTTACCAATGAAGCAACACTGCCACTTATCCGGAAATACATGGCCTGGATCCTTACATGGATGTTTGAAGATAGGTCTTATTAAATGACAGAAATAGCTATTGATCTAGGTAAAATGTGAACTTACTCTTTAGAGAAAAAACCATTCACTATTTCATTGATTTATTTTTTTAATTTTTTAATTTTTTAATTCTTTGAGATGGAGTTTCACTCTTGTTGCACAGGCTGGAGTGCAATGGCGTGATCTTGGCTCACCGCAGCCTCCACCTCCTGGGTTCAAGCAATTCTCCTGCCTCAGCCTCCCAAGTATTTGAAATTACAGGCATGCCCCACCACACCTGGCTAATTTTGTGTTTTTAGTAGAGATGGGGTTTCTCCATGTTGGTCAGGCTGGTTTCAAACTTCTGACCTCAAGTGATCTACCTGCCTCAGCCTTCCAAAGTGCTGGGATTACAAGTGTGAGCCACCGCGCCCAGCTTCATTGATTTATTTATCACATTTTATTTTTATTTATTTGTTTATTTATTTATTTAGAGACGGAGTCTCGCTGTCACCAGGCTGAAGTGCAGTGGTACCATCTCGGCGCACTGCAATCTCCGCCTCCCAGGTTCAAGCGAGTATCCTGCCTCGGCCTCCCAGCTAGCTGGGACTATAGCTGTGCACCACCATGCCCAGCTAATTTTTGTGTTTTTAGTAGAGACCATGTTGACCAGTATGGTCTCAATCTCTTGACCTTCTGATCCGCCTGCCTCGGCCTCCCAAAGTGCTGGGATTACAGACGTGAACCACCGCGCCAGGCCATTATTTATCACATTTTAAATGGACACCTTCTGTATGTTAGGCACTGTCCTAGGTGCTAAGAATACATCAGTGAGTAGAACAGGAAAAATAACACCTGTCCTCATCTTATGTTGCTGATTCTAATATTTTCTTGCACATATTGCGTCCCTATAAAAATGTTTTTAAAACCTGGCAGTATCCTGTGAAGAAAAGAACTGACTTTCTATACTTTGCCCTCCCCCCACCTCCCCAATCTGTTATAATTTTTCCGTGGAACAATTAGAGGTGTGTTTTCTCTAACTGTAATTTTCAGTAGGATTTTTGGTGTGGTTTTCTACTCTATTCTTCTACCTGGTTGATACAGGTAGCACTTAGACAAAGAAACAGAACTTGAGATTATCACCTGATTTGATAATCATCAGGAAGAAGACATGAATTAAGAAACACATATTAAGATACATGCATAGCTTTTTCCCTGAAAGGAATCTCTCTGTGTTTTCTATGCTAACAAGTTAAGGTGTGGCTTCCTATTGACTTTTCTCCCTTTCTTCTATTCTAAGCATTTTATTGAGTAAGCCTGACCTTTTCCTCCTTTGGTGATTGGTTTTGTCACTTTGCATCTGCAAGTATCTTTAGCCATTGTTCTGAAACAGCGTAAGTGATATGCAGGGGCACTTGCTAAACAGTCATAATCCCTAAACTCCACACCTAGTGACTCTGATTGTGTGGATCTAGCATGAGAACCTAGAAGCTGCTTTTCCAAAAAGGTGTATGGAAGAAAGGCAGGGCATACAAATAGGTTATGCAAATAGGGCATGTAGATAGGTTACTTTAAGAAAAACTGTCTAAAATGTTCTAGAACTATGGGAATATTGTCGAACTTTCCACTGGGCAGAGCCATAGGTGTGACCTGGCCATTAGTCTTATACACAGAAGAGTCCCAGTTTATGTACCATACATGTAATTAAGAAGCCAGAAGCCACCTATAAATGTCACATAGCACCCAAGGAGACTGTGTTACTTGCCTGCTCACCAGTGGGAGGAGGGGATGTTTCAGCTTTGTTAACCAGCTTACTTGGGATTTCTCCATAGGCAATGGTGGCTTGCTATCCGGGAAATGGAACAGGTTATGTTCGCCATGTGGACAACCCCAACGGCGATGGTCGCTGTATCACCTGCATCTACTATCTGAACAAGAATTGGGATGCCAAGGTACTTTTGAATAATGGGAGCAGAGTGTGGGGTTAGAAACTATAGGAAAAGGAATTCAGATAAGTTAGAGGAGGGTTTGTATTGAGTTCATAGTTGCCCTGTCTCCCACAGATGAATAATTTCTATTTCCATTTCATAACCTCCTGCAGTAATGGAATTAGTACTCAAGTTGTTAAGATGAAAACAATGAAGTTAATTTGGAGGGGGATAGGTAGGATGATTATTAACCCTACCTCTGGGAAGGGTGGTTGATGAAGGGAAGGTCATTTGATGTTAGGATTAAGGATGAATTTTTTCAGTTTAATTCAGGGTTGCTCTGACTCTCAGTGGAGACATAGGATATACACTTTTCCCTCCCAGCAGCAGCATTGAGAAAGTTCAACAAAAATAGAACTGTAGGATGTAAAACCATCCCCAAGAGAGATTTCCCACACAGGCCTCTCCCTCGGGGTGGTGTGTCTCACTGATGGCTGCTTGCCATGGGTTACTATGGTTTGTGAATGCCAAAGGTTTTTGTGGCTTATTTTTGTATTATAGAACTTATAGATAGATGGAGATATGAAGCCTGGTTCCACGCTTACAGACATTCGTCTGGACTCTGCATGCTTTCCAAAAGTTAAGAATGATTTAGGAGTCTGGGAAGTCAGAGAACTTTTCAAGCTTATTTGGCTTTTGAGCCTTCTGCATCTCCATTTCCCATTCATTAGGCAAATACTGGCTGTCATATAGCAATAATATTTTATCCAGAGTCAGAAAAATGAAACCTGGGAAACCACTGAATCAGTAAAAAGGCCTTTCTCTTCTCCCTGTTTGGTAACATGACTGGAATACATCCATTAGGCCTCCTTGAAAATCTTGAGAGGTGCTGATAGAGACAAGAGAATAAAGTTATCAGATTGGTACTAATAAATTGGAAGGTCTGGAATCATTCAACAAATATTTGAGTTCCTGGTAGTGTCAGACATTGTATTATGAAGAAACATTGATGTGTGAGGCTTGAATTCTACTCTAATACGGTTATTCTAGTAGGTAGGAATAGGTTGACATGTAAAAAAAAAAAAAAAAGTAATTCAAGAAAGAGAGTGATATATGTCATAAAAGGTACAGATTATGTGGTCTGAGAGTTCAGAAAAAAGAGCATGTAACTTCCAACTAACGAGGTCAGGTAGGAGCTAAGGGAGTTCAGAAGAGCTGTAAATTTTAATTGAAGGGGAAGTTATGTGTGATGACTTTCTTAGAAAGTTGTTGATGGCTAGATGGAACCATGTGAAATTGCTGTGGTTTTTTGTTTGTTTGTTTTGTTTTGAGACGGAGTCTTGCTCTGCTGGCCAGGCCAGAGTGCAGTGGTGTGATCTCGGCTCAGTGCAACCTCCGCCTCCTGGATTCAAGCAATTCTCTGCCTTATCCTTCCAAGTAGCTGGGATTACAGGCGCCCACCACCACACCTGGCTAATTTTTATGTTTTTAGTACAGGTGGCGTTTCACCATCTTGGCCAGGCTGGTCTTGAACTCCTGACCTTGTGATCCACCTGCCTTGGCCTCCCAAAGTGCTGGGATTCTAGATGTGAGTCACCGTGCCCAACCTGTTGTTGTTGTTTTTTTTTAAGTCAAAAACACTCAAATATTGGCAAATCTGTATGATTCAATCTAATAGTACTCTATTTTATGGCCATGGGCTTTATGACTGTGGGGGTGGGAATGCTTTTTTTGGTTTAAGGTGAATAAGGAGATATCTCTAGCCAAGTCTGAAATAAAATTTGGTACAAGGTGGCCGGGCATACCGGATCTGCCCACCTCGGCCTCCCAAAGTGCTGGGATCATGCCTGTAATCCCAGGGCTTTGGGAGACTGAGGTGGGCAGATCACCTGAGGTCAAGAGTTTGAGATCAACCTGACCAACATGGAGAAACCCCATCTCTACTAAAAATACAAAATTAGCTGGGCGTGGTGGCACATGCCTGTAATCCCAGCTACTTGGGAGGCTGAGGCAGGAGAATTGCTTGAACTCAGGAGGCAGAGTTTGTAGTGAGCCAAGATTGTGCCATTGCACTCCAGCCTTGGCAACAAGAGCAAAACTCGATCTCAAAAAAAAATTGGTACAAAGTATGAGGTTGAAGTAAGAATCTGGGGTACCATGCATTTGGAGTGGTGGTTAGCAGATGGCATATTTCTAAATGGGGCTGAAATATGGTTGTTGATAAACTACATGAGAGGTAGGAAATAATCTACCTTCTTTGTGGCTTTCAGCTACATGGCGGGATCCTGCGGATATTTCCAGAGGGGAAATCATTCATAGCAGATGTGGAGCCCATTTTTGACAGACTCCTGTTCTTCTGGTCAGATCGCAGGAACCCACATGAAGTGCAGCCTTCTTACGCGACCAGGTAAGAGCTGGGGCCATGATTCCCATCCTGGAGCTTGTTGTACAAACTGTAGTTCCAGAGAACTCTCTAAACTTGTGTTATGTGCATGCAGGGGACTGACCATACCCCACAGCTGATAGCAAATTTGTTTGGCGTCTACAAAAATTAAAGGGGAAACTTTGGATTCTTTAGTACACAAAAGCTAACCTCACTTTGAAAGTACTGTTAACAAATTGTTTTCCATTAGGTAAGCATATTGGATTCCAGCTTCTTTTTTTTTTTTTTTTTTTTTTTTTTGAGACGGAATTTTGCTCTTGTTACCCAGGCTGGAGTGCAATGGCACGATCTCGGCTCACCGCAACCTCCGCCTCCTGGGTTCAGGCAATTCTCCTGCCTCAGCCTCCTGAGTAGCTGGGATTACAGGCACGCGCCACCATGCCCAGCTAATTTTTTGTAGTTTTAGTAGAGACGGGGTTTCACCGTGTTGACCAGGATGGTCTCGATCTCTTGACCTCGTGATCCACCCGCCTCAGCCTCCCAAAGTGCTGGGATTACAGGCGTGAGCCACCGCGCCCGGCTGGATTCCAGCTTCTTAAGAGTATTTTTCTCTTCCTTCCTTTCCTCCCTTCCCTTACCTCTCTTTCCCTTTTAAAAAAACCTAATGTTGAACTATGTCTACAGAATCTTGGCTGTCCCATATCAGGAATACTGTCTGGTTACTTTGGATGAGTTTATAAGCTGCTAGTTGCAAGCAGAGAAAGAATCTTGAGAAAAGAAAGAATAATTGGTTTTGACTTTTCCTTTTTGTCTTTTTTTGGTTTGAAATTGGCTTGGGCTTGCTGCATCCATAGTCCAACAGCTGGATGTTTTATTAATCTTTTCTTTATCATGTGCACATGAAGATTCTCACAATAACTGAACAACTTAGTATTGTTTAGAACCAATCTAGAAAACCTTGATTCCCAATTCTGCCTCTCATTTACGTTTGTTAAAGCAATAAACCAGGCAGCATTGGAGGGCTATGAAGAGCAGCTTGTACTGAGACTAGCATTCAGGGCAGGAGGAGAGAGTTTTGGTAGGATGATGATTACATCTCAAGCCTAATTAAATTAAGATCGTATGTGTCCTCCTGCCAAAATCACACAGCTTAACCCCAAGCAGGGTTATATATTAACTGCCAAATTGGAATGTCTTCCAGATGAGTAGGAAACGAATTCTACCGCTGAAGTCATCTTTTGTGTTTCATGGTTTTCGATAACTAGACCCCATTGTTTGTGGCAGAAGTCTTTGGTTAGTCCCCAATCTCATGATGACTGACTTTACAGGGAAAACATTAACAAATGTTGATGAGAAACCCTTGAAAAAAACTAAGTCCTATAGAAATTTCAGTAGCTAACAATCATTTGAAAACGAAACTTCAAAAAAAAAAAAACCCAAGAATGAAATGGCTCCCATTACAGTCTACCCAATGAATGGGATAAAGCAAGTTAGTGGGGATGCAGGAGAACCCTGGGGCATTATTATTGTTCACTTGCAACTTTGCCTCAATGTCCAAAACTAAAGAAAGCAAGCCAAGAGTTTTAAACATACTATGATTTACACAAGTTATTTTTCAAAGCTTCACTCAGATGGCATCTCTTCTCTGTGTTCTCGCCACCCACTTGGGTCTCCTAGTCTTTACCAGAATGACTTCCTTCTAGTCCTTTCTATAGAGGTCATGTTTACCTGTTGCCTTATTGCAAAATCACCTGTCTCCCTTATTTTGAGCCTGAGATCCTTGTGGAAGAGGAAGAGCTGTTCACAGGATCATTTGAATTCCTAATGTTCAAGATAATTCCTGGGACATACCTGGAATTCCTTATGTGTTTTATTACTTTGAAATAGAATTAAAACCAGAGAAGTTAAATTTTAATTAAAATCAGGGTAGACTTCTAATAATAGGGAAAACTTTAAAACTTTCAATGTGAGATTTATAGGACATTTGTGTGGGTTTTTTTCTTGTTTTTTGCTTTTGAGATGGAATCTTGTTCTCTCACCTAGGCTGGAGTGCAGTGGTGCGATCTTGACTCACCGCAACTTCCGCCTCCTGGGTTCAAGCAATTCTCCTGCCTCAGCCTCCTGAGTGGCTGGGATTACAGGTGTACTCCACTATACCCAGCTAATTTTTTTTTGTATTTTGAGTTGAGACGGGGTTTCACCATGTTGGCCAGGCTGGACTCAAACTCCTGACCTCGTGATCCACCCACCTTGGCCTCCCAAAGTGCTGGGATTACAGGTGTGAGCCACCGTGCCTGGCCATTTGTGTTTTTAGTAGTAGCATTAAACCTCTTTCCTTATATCTGTTTATCTTTCACAGATATGCTATGACCGTCTGGTACTTCGATGCTGAAGAAAGGGCAGAAGCTAAAAAGAAGTTCAGGAATTTAACTAGTATGTGTTTGATAATTTTCTGTGACTTTTGATCAAGTTAATCCTTGATTTTTATTCAATGTTACATATTTTTAAATATGCTCTGTTCAATATGTTATAGCTTAGCTTTATATGTAATGATATCTTGATGGGTTTTATCCTGAAACCTTGGCCTTAGGGTTCATAGAAAAATCAGAAGCAATGCAAGGGGTTTCCCCTGAGAATGCCCAATGAATGTATGATGGTTTATGATAGATGGGAAATAGTTAACTTTTTCTTATTAATGTTAACCAGTCAAATGTAATATTAAATTCTGCCCATGATTTTGGCATATTGCAAAGGAAATATAATGGAACCCAGTTACGATGGCAAATTTATCATATTGGGTGAGACCGTGACTCTCAGTATAAAAGCAAGGCTCATGTAATATAAACTGAATATGACATAGCACTATTCCTATCCCTTCCAACCAGTATTGTAAGGCAGCATTTTCCAAAATATGTTACATTAAAACACAAATCCTGCCAAGTTGGTAAACTCCTGGTCCCAGAAATGTGGGAAATGTTGCATCCTCTATCCCTCTCTTAAAGAGTCACAGTGGTCACTAGCATGTTCAATTACGGCTCTAAGAGATCCTGCAGTAAGGAAACATGTATGATATTGCCTAGCCCATAGCCCATTTGGACTGTATACCTCTCAAACACCACAGAAAACCCCTTTTGCAAAGCTCTGTCGGGAGCTTATATAAGATGGGAAGTGTTTACTGGAGGCTTTTTGGTGACATTTGTGACATAAAACTCATCAGAGGTGACTCCATACCTCTATTCTCCTTTCTGTCCCCCACCCAGGGAAATCTGAATCTGCCCTCACTGAAGACTGACCGTGTGCTGAAATCTGCTGGCCTTGTTCATTTTGGTAATGGTTCCTGAATTCTCTTTAAGAGTTGAGATCCAAAGATGGCCTCTTCAGTGACAACAATCTCCCTGCTACTTCTCGCATTCTTCACATCCCTGTCTTGTGTGTGGTACTTCATGTTTTCTTGCCAAGACTGTTGATCTTCAGATGCTCTCTTGGCAGAATGAACTCATTTGTTAACTCTAGAAATTTCCTGCAGACATCCTGCTCAGCCAGCGGTTTACCTGATAGATTTGGTGATACTGACTATCAAGAAAAGAGCCTAGGAGCACAGCGAGGGAGTGAACCTCACTTGCACTTTATGTACGCTTGCTGATTTGAAAGGAGGAGGTTTGAAAAGCAAAAAATGGTGGTGGTAGATGCCACAGTGAGGCATCATGGAAGCCTTAACAGCAGGAAACAGAGGAATTTGTGTCATCTGAACAGTTTCCAGATGTTCTTAATGCAGGGCTGTTGGGGTTTCTGGAGAATTATCACAACCTAATGACATTAATACCTCTAGAAAGGGCTGCTGTCATCGTGAACAATTTATAAGTGTCCCATGGGGCAGACACTCATTTTTTCCCAGTCCTGCAACCTGGATTTTCTGCCTCAGCCCCATTTTGCTGAAAATAATGACTTTCTGAATAAGGACGGCAACACCATTTTTTCTGCATTTTCAGTTCTTACCTGGGAACCTAATTCCCCAGAAGCTAGGAAAACTAGACATTAGTTGTTTTGGTTGCTTTAGTTGGAATGGAATTTGAACTTAAAGGAAAAGTATCTCCTTGGTAGTTTTGTGTTAACCTCTGATAACTGTGGAAAGAGCTAGGTCTACAGATACACAATAAACGTGTGCATCTTGAACAATTTGAGAAGGGAGGTGGAGTTGGAAATGTGGGTGTTCCTGTTTTTTTTTTTTTTTTTTTTTTTTTTTTTTTTTTNTTTTTTTTTCAGTTTCCCTTTTTAATGAGCTCACCCTTCTTTGACACAATAAAAAACAGGGTGCTGTATTTTAAAAAAGGAAATGGAAATAAAAAAAATCTCAAAACTGTTTGAATTCTTCCACGTTGTCTGTCCCTAGCAGCCTTTCTTCAGCCCATGTGGCTTTGCAGATTCACTGTGGTTGGCAGTATGGCCAGAATCATGGAATGTGCTGGAACTGTGGAAGCTTCTACTCCTGCAGTAAGCAGAGATCGCATTGCCTCAATAACGCTGTACTGAGCACATATTTTACAAATGTTAGTTTTCCTAGTCTTCAATACTACTTCCATGTTTTAAAAATCCCTTTGAAAATCCCATGAACATTAAAGAGCCAGAAACATTTTCCTTGTTATGTATGGAGATGTATATATAGTGTTCCAGGATAGAAGTTTACTTTTTCCTCTTCTGGTTTTGGAGAATTTCCAGATAAGACTTGTCACCATTCATTCTCATGACTGCTCTATTTCATTGTAAGGTAATACTTATCACCTTCTAAATTACTCTGTAATTTGCTTATTTATTATGTTTATTGTCTTGTATCCTTTCTCCAGAGTGTAAGCGCAGTGAAGAAAGGAATTTTGCACATTTTTAACCAATGCAGTCTACTCTCAGCACCTTTAAAGAGTACCTGGCACGTAGTAAGGGCTCCGTAAATACTTGTCGAATAAACTCAATCTCCTACATTAGCATTCTAATGATTTGATTTATTCCATCTTTGGCAGGAAGGGCTTGCTAGAATTTTTACACACATCTTTCTAATATTGTTGATGTACACATTTAGGCTAAGAGTTTTAGAAAGCTTTGGTCAGAGTATCGTTTCATATTTGTTTAACCATGAATAAGTCATTCACTGACCACTATGAATCTGAAAATGGAACAAATTATATTTTTGCCCTTCCATATCCTGGGACTATAGGAGTAAAATAACATTAGCTTCAGATAGGACAGAGTAAATTCCCCTTTTTGAACAATTTTGAAAATATTCAATAGGAAAGAAAGGAAGTTTATTAGAAGTTTTATAATCTATAAAATTGTATTTATTTTTCATGATTACCAATGTCTTAAGAGTGATAGTGACAGTATTCTGAAGGATTAGTTCCAAAAGCATGTCTTGTATCTTTCATTTAATCAATATACCAAAAGATCTGACCTCTAAGACTTTGCTTATTCCTTCCAGACAAAGGTCCTATAAGCTAACAAATCAGTTTATTTATGTGCACTGATTTTTTTTTTTATGGCTGACTTTGAGTCCTAGAAAATTAAGCTGGAAAATACAACTTTAATGCTCACTGTCTGTTTTTTGTTCCTTTCTTTGACAGCCCACTTAGGGGAGGAGTTAGCCCTGCTAAAGAAACATTATTTGGCAAATAATCTGATCAATTTCATTTATATTCCCAGCAATGAAATATTAAGGGGCTACCTCACCATTATGTCACTTATATAATGCAGAGTCCTTGGAAGGAGATTAAATTTTGAACCAAAGATCCAATTTCATGGAAATAAAAAGTCTTACCTAAGTACATTACATAGATCCTTAGTAGAGTAGTTAATACCATTAAATGTTGGACTGTCAGAATCATGACTTATCCATTCAGACATGATTTTGTTTTTCTTTAACTCAAGTTTTTTAGAGGCTGGGTCATCCTAATTTCTCTTGGCCATTCAGTATTGAATTGTTTTGCGTTTTGGAGAGCAATGATGAGAAACGCCATGCTGGGTCAGCAGTTTGTGTAAGATAGGAGTTTGGTCATGTCAGGTACTTATGTGTTTGATCGACTGTGAGGACAAGCAGAAGGGATATTCTTAGTAAAGTTACTTTAAAAATGATACAACATGGACTTAGCTTCAGTCTTGAATCTTTTGAATGATATGAAGAGTACTGGTTAGTAAGGTGGTTAGAGACTAGTGTCAGAACAGAGTAGAAATAAACTTTTCAAATGAAGCTGTCTACAGTTGAACTCTGTCGAAAATATATGCTGGTTTATGTTAAAGACCCAGTCTACTTTCAGACCCAATCTACTCTCATCCCGATATGGTTTTTAGTATGCTGTTTCTTGTGTTGCTAGGTCGGATTTACCATGGTTTACCGCCTTTACATTTGCAAGGCTGCGGCTAGAGAGTTAAAGAGTTATGATGTAAAGAAGCCGAGAAAAATGGGTGAGATGACTTGAAATACTCAGAGAATACCTATATGCTGGCCCCTGTGCTACGTGCTCCCACGTATTTATTCTTTGCAACCACTGTGAGACAGCTTTTCCTCTTTCACAGCTGAGGAAATGTACTCAGAATGGTTAGGTGGCTTGTCTAAGGTTACGCAGTGGTGGAGTAGCACACCAGGATTTGACTCAGGACCTCTAGCTCCTCAGTATTTGTTGTCTTTGGAATTGCCTTCCTGCCAAAAGTGCAGGAATGAGTAGAGATGGGAGAAGGGGAGTTTTAAATGCCTGCTGCTTGATATTCTTATATAACGTTATGTTTATGAACAAGGGTGTCATACCATCTTTAAAGAGTGTCAGTTATTCAATAAAAACCACACAAGCAGAAAACATCAGTTGGACTCTCTCTTGACTTTGCAATGAGATCTTTCCCGGGTGCCTCACAGATTGTGGAGGAACACTGGTTTTATATCCAGCATTGGCCTCTTGGGCTAATGCTGAGCATGAGTTGTATGAAGCGTGCCCTCACTCACACATCAGAGTTAAGCAGTGTAGACCATCTGGAAGAGAAAACCGGCTGAGATTTCCTGGGTGCAATTTGGAGACCTTCCATCAGGCCACAGCACACTGGGACAGTAAGACAATATGCAAGCTGTCCCCCTCATGTCCTTGTGTCAGATGCAGCTGAGTTCTTTTGGATACACATAACTTCCCAGCTTGGACTTAAGGTAGAGCTGAGATGTCAGTGGAGTTCTGTTACTGACAATTCTGCATCAAATAAGTTAGATGGCCTACCTTTGTCACCTCTGAGGGACATTAAATAGAGATGTACAAACATTTTTTTTTTTTTTTTTTTTTTTTTGAGACGAAGTCTCGCTCTGTCACCCAGGCTGGAGTGCAATAACACGCTCTTGGCTCACTGCAACCTCCGCCTCCCAGGTTCAAGCAGTTCTCCTGCCTCTGCCTCCCAAGTAGCTGGGATTACAGGTGTGCACCACCATGCCTGGCTAATTTTTTATTTTTTTTGTATTTTTAAGTGGAGACCAGGTTTCACCATGTTGGTCAGGCTGGTCTTGAACCCCTAACCTTGTGATCCACCTGCCTCATCTCCCAAAGTGCTGGGATTACAGGCATGAGCCACTGTGCCCAGCTACATTTTTAATTCTTAAAGCCATTTGAGCCATGTCTACTTACTTTTTTTTATGGTAGCCTGTAGAAAGTTTCTATTTTAATTTCTTTAAAACACAGCTCTTTGGCTTAAATACCATGAAAACGTATGAATATTGAAAAACCATATTTTTTTCTTGGCTGTTGCTTGTTTGACCTCTGAAAAACAGCACATTGCCAGGGTGTGGTGGCTCATGCCTGTAATCCCAGCACTTTGGGAGGCCAAGATGGGCAGATCAGGAGGTCAGGAGTTTGGGATCAGCCTGGCCAACATTTTGAAACCCATCTCTACTAAAAACACAAAAATTAGGCGGGTGTGGTGGTGGGCGCCTGTAATCCCAGCTACTTGGAAGGCTGAGGAAGGAGAATCACTTGAGCCCAAGAGGTGGAGGTTGCAGTAAGCCAAGACCACACAATTGCATTCCCGCCTGGGCGACAGATTGAGACTCCGTCTTAAAAAATAATAATAATAAAAGTAAAATAAAAAACAGGACATGGAAAAGTCAGCTTTTCTGGAAGTATTTGCTGCTTATGCTCCTGAGGGCTGAATTTTTTCAGAAAATAAAGGCCATTTTGTGATTCTTTTTTTTAAAGGGAGACAAACATACAATAGCTGTTGTGTTATTGTCAACACAACAGTAGGAGTGGCTAAACACTGGGTCATTAAAAATTAATTTAACATGTACATACCTCAGAGATATTGTAGGTTTGGATCCAGACTACCACAGTAAAGCAAAAATTACCAAAGTGAGTCACAATTTTTTCTGGTTTCCCAGTACATATAAAAGTTATGTTTATACTATACTGTGTCTATTCAGTGTGCAATAGCATTATGCCTGAAAAAACAATGTGTATACCTTAGTAAAAAACATTTTATTGCTAAAAAATGCTGATGTTCATCTGAGCCTTCAGCAGGTCATAATCTTTTTGCTGGTAGAGGGTCTTTCCTCCATGTGGACAGCGGCTGACTGATCAGGGTAGTGGTTGCTGAAGGTTGTGGTGGCTGTGGCAATTTTAAAAACAAGACAACTGTGAAACTTGCCATATTAATTGACTCGTTCTTTCATGAAAGATTTCTCTGCAATCTCAAATGCAATGCTATATGATAGCCTGTTACTTTTGGTAGAACTTTCAAAATTGGAGTCAGTCCTTTCAAATCTGCTGCTGCTTTATCAACGAAATTATATAACAGACTGGGTGCAGTCATTCACATCTGTAATGCCAGCACTTTGGGAAGCCGAAACAAAGGGGCCATTTGAGCCCAGGAGTTCAAGATTAGCCTAGGCAAGATGATGAGACCTTGTCTCTACAAGAAATAAAATAAATTTATTCGTCATTTCAACACAGCATCGTCACCAAAAATAGTCCATCTCAAGAAACTACTTTCTTTCCTCATCCATGAAAAGCAACTTACCTGTTCAAGTCTTATCATGAGATTGCAGCAATTCAGTCCCAATTTCAGTCTCCACTTCTGATTGGAGTTTTCTTGCTGTTTCCACTACATCTGCACTTCCTTCCACCACTGGAGTCTTGAACCTCTCAAAATTGTCCATGAGTGTTGTA